AACCAGCAAACCTACTGACTTCGGGCAACATATTAAACGAGAAGCAAACTAAGAAGAACATAAAACAAGCTTAGCATGTTGTGGGAAAGCAATGATGGATCTGTGATGAACCTGCTTGAAGTCTCCAGTCTTTCTCATCCAGCAGCTTCCTCAGAGCTTGGATACAAGTCCCAGAATTCCCCAGCCAGAGGCCATGCTGGTTGGGGAATTCTGGGAACTGGAGTGACAGTGTAGATGGAAATGCTACTTTGGGGAAGGCTGGTGTAAACCTGTCTTAGCAATTCCCATTGCACGTTACAACTTTTATTCAGATAATGTGATGGAATGGAATTATGGAGGCCAGGCTCAGGGAGAAAAACATTTTCTTACATCTCCTGAAGAGCGTGGGAAATACAAGAGGATGAGACTGGCCCCTCCCTGAGGAATGCACGGTGGAGTGGCTGGCATTACTTGGGAGCTGGGGTTTCAGTCTGGGAAGATTCTTGCTAGAGGTTGTAGCTAATAAACATAGCTGGACTGAATTTACATGGTCTCTTGGAGTTCCTTGGGCTAGGCCTGACAGATAATCTAAAACTGCTTTGGCAAATCTTGTACCATGGAAGGGATGGGGCTAGTTGATCTCTATGATTTTTCATGGGTGTAAACATTGTAGGAGGAGAGGCTTGTTGGTGTGTAGTAGCCAAAAATCGAAGGAGTTTGGTAGCAGCTTTTCAGACAAACATATTTTATGAAAAGGCATCAGCTTTTGTGGAACTGTAGCTTGCTCCACCAGATGCAGTTTAACTATTCCAGATGCAGTTGGCAAAAGCTGATACCTTGTCATAAAATGTGTTAGTCTGAAAGCTGCTGCCAGATTCCTTCTGCTTTATGGTGGGTGTAAAATCTCTTATTAAGCTGCCCCAACTGCTCTTTCTGTCTTCCGTCCTCCAATAGGTACTTTGCTTTTCAACAAAGTCATTGAGATCAACCCTTACCTGCTGGGCACCATGTCTGGAAGTGCAGCCGATTGCCAATATTGGGAGCGTCTCCTGGCCAAACACTGCAGGTACGGACATTGATGCTGGTGCTGAGAGAAGAGGGAGCCTTCACTGATCAGCTGTGCCTACTAGTAATCCATAACTTTGTTTCTCTGGGTGATAAATGACCAGACTGAGTTAAAATCAAGCACAGCACAAGTAAAAAATGGACAAACCAATCAGAAGTTATAGGTTCAGTTTTCAAATTTATTTATTTATTTTTATTTTATTTATTTATTTATTTATTTATTTAATTTATTAATTAAATTTCTCACCCGTCCATCTCCCCCCAATGGGGGAACTCTGGGCAACTCACAACAAACATTAAAAACATAAATAT